CCCCAGAGAGATGGGGGAGAAGCCATCTCTCTTAGCGAAATACCTTCTGTCTCCAGTCCACCGTCCTGCCAACTGCAGACGAAACGTGCTTCGAGGTTCTTTGGCACACACAAGCACACACCCTTAGCCTCTCCTAATCTCTCAGGGCTCTGAAACGGCCAGCCATTTCTCCCTTCGCGCAAGTAATGGACCGCAACCCATTAGGTTGGCTAAATGGACTCTCTCGGAATGGATGGTCCGTGTCGTGCACATATCCACCCACACTTCTACACTTATCTTCCTATATGCATAAAAATGTAAGGTTGTCGTCACGTAGCCCCCCCCCCCATTGGGAGGATTCTGGATCTCGCATCAAAATCCCAGATTTGCAGGAAGTTAGGGTGGGGTGAGGAGGCAAGCTGCACAACACCAGCAGCCATGTCATGGGAGCAAGGAGGGAGGGGCATTGACAGGTGAAATGTTGCGGTTGAAAACAAGAGCAGAGGTTTGTGTGAAGTAGGGATGGAGGGAACTGAAGGAACATGGCGGGGGAGAAGAGTCATGGGCATGCCTGTGAAAATGGGGGTGCAGAGTGGGACTGCAGAATAGAAGAGAAAAATGGGGAAGAATAGGGAGCTTAGCAGTCACTTGAGGTAGGAAGGGGAAACTCTAGGGGGGCAGGGAAACGGTGGGAGGTTTGTGAACTGAGTGAGCAGGGGTGCAGCCTCTAGCAATCAATACGTAGAGAACAATATACGGTAGTGTACATTTGTTGCAGAAGGGTCTCATATGCGCAGCCCAATGTTGCTCGTATTGAAAAAAGAGTTGCATTTCTGATCTCCCGAATCCTCTATGTGCCTGCATGCGCACGCACACACACATGTACACATGGGACTTTTTTTGGCACCTCCTCTCCTTGACCTATTACAGCTGGTTGTTACAAGAACTCCAGAGCACCTGAATTTGCTTCTTCTTCTTCCTCCTCCTCCTCCTCCTCCCTTTTCCTTTCGCATTGTATCTTTTAGCTTATAAGCCAAATCTTATTATTGATAGCTGTAAGCCACTCTGGGAAGCTTCCTCCCACCTTCAGCTGAAGAGCAGGGGTCAAAATCTTTCAAACTGGTAAATGACAGGGCTAGGTTGGGCTGTTGAATGGTCCTTTGGCCACAGGAACCTCTGCCTTCACACTCCTCTTGGGCTTCTGGGTTGGCAGCTAGGAACATAGGAAGCGGCCATAAACCGAGTCAGACCATTGGTCCATCTAGCTTAGTATTGTCTACACTGGCTGGCAGCATCTCTCCCAGGCTTTCAGACAGGGGTCTTTCCTGGCCCTACCTTGAGATGCTGGGGATTGAACCTGGGTCCTTCTGAATGCAAGGCAGATGCCGTACCACTGAGCCCAACCCTACCCCAATGTCGGGAAGGAGACAGCAGTTAGCATGCAGAAGGTGTACTCTCTACCCCTGAGACAGGCAGAACTGCAAAATGAGCCAAAATGGGCCACAGATCTTCACCTCCTAGAGAGAAAGAGAGATATTATAGTGACGGACAAAACAGAAGTTTCAAAATCATCCTTTAAATGCATCCTTTTCATCAGCGCAACTGATGATCATTTTTGATGAAATGTTATGCTTTAAGAATTTAAAAATTCTGCTTTAAGTTTGCTGTAATAAACCTATAGTTTTGGTCATGAACTGCATTCTACCAGGACCCCAGAGCTTGCAGGTATTATTTTCATTGCAGGGTGGGTGGAGGGGACAGACGGACGAGTCGATCTCACACCCTTTTCCAGGCTAGAGCTCCTAAACCATCTTTGCTTCCTGGATCTCACTTCCCTATAGCCTAGAATCTGCCAGAACACAGGGCAAGGGAGTTCACCACCCTCTGTTCTGAAATTCACACCTAAGGCACTGGAATGGAAATAACAGTGACTGGGATGAGGCCTTTTGAGAAGAAAGTTTAGAATTGCCAGGGGGGTAAGGATGACAACTTGCCAACAAAGCATGTTGTTGTTGTTGTTGTTGTTGTTGTTTAGTCGTTTAGTCGTGTCCGACTCTTTGTGACCCCATGGACCAGAGCACGCCAGGCACTCCTGTCTTCCACTGCCTCCCACAGTTTGGTCAGACTCATGTTTGTAGCTTCGAGAACACCGTCCAACCATCTCGTCCTCTGTCCTCCCCTTCTCCTTGTGCCCTCCATCTTTCCCAACGTCAGGGTCTTTTCCAGGGAGTCTTCTCTTCTCATAAGGTGGCCAAAGTATTGGAGCCTCAGCTTCACGATCTGTCCTTCCAGTGAGCACTCAGGGCTGATTTCCTTAAGAATGGATATGTTTGATCTTCTTGCAGTCCCAACAAAGCATGCACCACTATAAAAGACTTGTGCACATCTTCCTCATGTGTGCATGTGAGGGCTGAGCAGGTCTCCTGTCCTGTCTTGCACCCAACTTGGATCCAGGCCCTGACCCAATTCAGGAACCTTACAGAGTCACACAGGGCTCCTTCTCCCTGATTTCCTTGCCTTGCATTTTGACAGCCCTGGATTGCTTCAGGGAGACCTGATCCAAGCCAAGGGTATCCAAGGCTGCCTCAGTCTGATCCACCCGAATCCCAGGTTGACCCAGATCCACCAAAAGTGGTGTATGGGCTTCTCCTGCTCTTCATTCAATCCCCACAACAACCCTACGAGGTAGGTTAGGCTGAGAGTGACTGGCCTCCAAGGGTGACCCAGTGAGCTGCATAGCCAAGCGGGGATTTGAACTCTGGTCTCCCAGGTCCTAGTCTGACATGCTAACCATTACACCACACTGGCTCTCTGGTTTTAACTTTGCTGTTCTATCCTTCCTATGCCTGGTGCTGTACAAGACACAATCACTCGCCGCTTGTTATCTGAAATTTCTCTCTCTCTCTGAAAACAAAACCAATGGTGCATGTTCTTGAAATTGTATTTATTCATTGCACTTATATCCCACTTTTCAAAGAGCTCAGAGGTTCTTCTCCCCTCCCCTGTTTGATCCTCACAACCACCCTGTGAGGGAGGCTAGGCCAAGAGAGAGTTGGGAAGGGACGCAAAGTCACCCACTGAGTGAAGGAGGATTTGAACCCTGCTCTCCCGAATCCCTAGTCTGATGCTGCAACCGCTACACCACCCTGGTTGTTGTATGGACTGGGCACCAGAAGGAGAACAAGTTCCAGAAACAAGACAGTCAGATAATCAAGGCAAGTGACTGAGAAGCAGGATCTTTGCACTACAGAAACCACAACTTCTATCCAGTACAGTGGTACCTCGGGTTACATACGCTTCAGGTTGCATACGCTTCAGGTTACAGACTCCGCTAACCCAGAAATAGTACCTTGGGTTAAGAACTTTGCTTCAGGATGAGAACAGAAATCGTACTCCGGTGGCGCGGCAGCAGTGAGAGGCCCCATTAGCTAAAGTGGTGCTTCAGGTTAAGAACAGTTTCAGGTTAAGTACGGACCTCCGGAACGCATTAAGTACTTAACCCGAGGTACCACTGTATTGATAACAAAATCTTGAGACAAAAGGTTACAACCTTAACATAGGCTTGCACCAACAGCACAGTGAGCCCCACTGAACTCAGCAGTGCTTAGGATCCGGAGTAAACGCAGGCCCCCTCCAGATTGGGGCTGTGTAAACACACATTTCCCTTTTACTCTGCACCCACTGCACTCTCACCCCTGGGTTCAATCCACATCTATCCTGCCTTTTGCTGCTCTGAACCCCTTTGGGACGAAGGTGGGGGAGAGAGAGAAATGCAATAATAAATAATGGTAAAATCTACCCTCAACTGTGATTCCCCCATTGCAGGGAGAAGCGACTAGACAACCCGTTTGAGCAGGTTCCAGCTCTAGAATTCTATGATTCTGTATTTATTTATTTTTTACAAAATGCTGCAATCCCCCCCCCAAAAAAACCACACCCACCCTGGCTTTGATCCCAACTGGGGGGAAAAGAACAACCTAGCTGGATTTTAAGCCAGCAATATGTACACACAGCCTGTGGTTCTTTTGGGAGAAAGATTCAGTTGCATAGCTGCAAATTTAGGCTTCAGCAATTAGAAGTGGGTTAAAGTGTTCTCGGGCAGTAAATTCACCTTTTTTTAAAAGGGGGATTTTTCAGGAAGGAAAGTAGTGCAGAAATGCTTGGGGAAGTGCGGGCTGACAATGGAATGACGGGACATCTGGAGGCCCCCCCCCCAACATTGCATCTTGAAACCATCTATTGCACTTCCTGGAAAGTTAAACCCAGCTAAATATCACCCAGGAAGCTTGCTTCTGAGCCAACCATTAATAGGTCGGGGCTACCATCACATCCATGCTTCCTTAGATGCAAGCCCCTGTTTGAACTCCATGGGACTTTTGAGTTACACCTGCAGCGGATCAGAATCTAAAGATGCAGTGGAGATTGAAGCTGGAAAGGAGAGGTTCTGAAAAATAAATTTCATAGGGGGTGTTGTGTCCCCTCCCTCTATAGTCCAGGGGAATCACGGGTCAGCTGGGGTTGTCATTAGACCCACTAAAAGTAAGGAACATGGCTAACTGGTGTCCTTTTAATGTCAGCGAATCTCTCCAGCACTGGTTCTACTCAAGAGTAAACCCCCCTGAAGCCAATGGGCATGGCTACCTCATGCCCATTGAGTCCAACCAATATTCTCTTGAGTAGGGCTTGGAAAGAAATCAAAAGGTCTACTCTGAGTAGGGTCCAGCTGAATACAACCCTTTTAAAGCCTAATGTTTGATGTTTGATGTATTACAGTATTTTTATATTTTTTTGGAAGCCGCCCAGAGTGGCTGGGGAAGCCCAGCCAGATGGGCGGGGTATAAATAATAAATTATTATTATTATTATTATTATTATTATGATGTCCTTCCCCTTCCCCTCCAAGTAAGAGCTGTCCAGTAGGAGGCGATGAACTGGGGAGGGGCGCAATCGTGGAGATAGGGACGCTCCAGCCCCGACGGCGCCCCCTTAAACCCACCCAAAAAAACACCACACAAGGCTTACCATCACTGAGAAGACGAAGGCCACGATGTTGATGGGGTAGGACGGGCAGAAGCAGGAAAGGATGCTGAGCCACAGGTAGTTTTTGGGCGCGTGGATCTCCTCTTCCTCGGGGCCCGGCGCCTCCTCGTCGCCGTTCATCTGCAGGTCGGCGCCGCTGTTGCTCTTCCCCAGGCCCCGCCTGAGGTCCGAGTAGGCGGGCGGCGGCGAAGAGGAGCCCTCCATGAAGCCGGCGCGGGAAGAAGGAGAAGAAGGGAGAAACGAAGTTCGACGGGGCGGACGCGAGCCGAGGAGGAGCGCACGGCTGCTGCTGCTGCTGCTGTCCCTGCGGCGGAAAGAGCTGCTCCGTCGGCCGCAGAGGGAGCCGCTTGACCTCGCTCAGCCCCTCTCTCCTTCTCCTTCTCCTACTCGCTCCCGTCTCCGTTCAGGGACGGCGGCCAAAAGGCAGACCGAGCCAAGCCCACCTCGATCCCGGGCAAACTCTCAGGTTTCGCTCCCCGGCCAAGCCGAAGAGGTTGGCGGCTTGGGGAAGAAGAGATCGCTCCCGACGGGCTCAGCAAGGACTGAAAGCGCCTTTGGTATGGCCAGCGGCTGCAGCGGCGGCGGTAGCAGCACCAAGGCACTCGGAGCGCCGTCTGATTGGAGGGAAGGGACGCCCACTTTGGAGTTACACGGAGCTCTTCGACCCAATCAGGTATTGTGGGGAGATGGGAGGAGGAGGAGGAGGAGGAGAAGAGGACTCAGGAATTGGCTCTGAGCCAGGATGGCTAGACGGTCTTTCCAGGCAGGATGACAAGGGGATGATTGAGGTCACATCCAGGGGTGCCAACTTGAATAAAATATTTTTTTTGGGGGGGGGTGGAGGTAAAGCCGCATTGACCACATGATATGGTACACCCACCCACACCCACCCACCATTTGAATGGTAATGACCATTAACTTGGGGGGGGAGCCCCCATCAAATATTTTATTGGAGGGGCGGAAAAGAGCCCTCAGCCCCAAGGAGTTTGCTCCTACGGTCACATCCGCACCATGTATTTAAAGCAAATTCAACATGGCCGGCTTCCCAATCCTGGGAACTCTAGCTTACCTCTCACTGAGCTAGAATTTCCGGCACCCTTAACCACACAACCGTTTCCGGGATTTCCGGGGAGGAAGCCATGAGCTTTAAATGTGTTGCATAGATGTGACCTGAACCTCCAGAGCCAGTGGTCGTATACCACTGAAATCAGTTGCTTCAGAGCAACAGGAAGAGGGGAATGTGGAAGTTTCCCCTCTCTGCCTGCTCTTTCCCATGCAGACACATCAGCCTTCGGTGCAAGCTGAGTTACATCTCAACACTTCCAAAGTCCTGGGTGCAATCTCCAGGTAGGGCTGCCAAATGTTTCCAGCCTGAAACCCCAGAGAGCCACTACCAGCCAGTGTAGACAGAACTGAGTTAGATAGACCCAGTGGTCTAACTTCGTATAGGGCAGCTTCCCGTGTGAGACATGACAATCAAGCAATGTTTTACATCAGGGGTAAGCAAACTAAGGCCCGGGGGCCGGATCCGGCCCAATCGCCTTCTCAGTCCAGCCCGCGGACGGTCCGGGAATCAGCGTGTTTTTACATGAGTAGAATGTGTCCTTTTATCTAAAATGCATCTCTGGGTTATTTGTGGGGTATAGGAATTCGTTCATTTTCTTTTTTTCAAAATATAGTCCAGCCCCCCACAAGGTCTGAGGGACGGTGGACTGGCCCACAGCTGAAAAAGGTTGTTGACCCCTGTTTTACATCCACATGTCTTGGCATACTAGGTCAGTGTGTCTGGCTGTGAACTAGAAGGTTGGTGGTTCAAGCCAACTTAGGGATGGCTATGTTCAGGGACTTGGACTAGATGACCGCCAGGGCCCCTTCCAACTCTATGATTCTGTGTGGCAATGGGACACTGGAAAACTGCACAGTACACCAGTCTTTCTTTACTCCAAAATGACACACACACACTCTAGCAGATTTCTCTCCTTTCCTGACAAACCAGGGACATGATTACGAGGGAGAAAGCGCAGAGGCTGATGGTGTGTGGATTGGATGGTGGCCTTCAGGCCTGCTGGAAATAAGTCACTTGCACTGTGCTAAGGCTGGGCTCTATAGGAGGCAGCAACACTTCTGAATACCAACTGCTACCTCTTTTGAGCTTGTGACCTCCTTGGGACATCTTGGTGGCTAGGATTCTGGATTAGATAGGCCATTGGCCTGCCCAGCAGGCTCTTCTTATGGTCTTATGACTGGCCCAGGGTCACACAGTAATAATAATAATAATAATAATAATAATAATAATAATAATAATAATATATTGATACCCCGCCCATCTGGGGAACTCCCAACAGAATTAAAAGCAGAATAAAGCACAATGAAACATCAAACATTAAAAACTTCCTTAAACAAGGCTGCCTTCAGATGTTTTCTAAAAGTCAGATAGTTGTTTACTTCCTTAACATCTGATGGGAGGATGTTCCACAGGGTGGGCGCCACTACCGAGAAGGCCCTCTGCCTGGTTCCCTGTAACCTCATTTCTCGCAGTGAGGGAACCGCCAGAAGGCCCTCGGTGCTGGACCTCAGTGTCCGGCTAGAACGATGGGGGTGGAGACGCTCCTTCAGGTATACTGGACCGAGGCCGTTTAGGGCTTTAAAGGTGAGCACCAACACTTTGAGTTGTGCTCGGAAATGTACTGGGAACCAATGTAGGTCTTTCAAGACCAGTGTTATATGGTCTCGGCGGCCGCTCCCAATCACCAGTCTAGCTGCCGCATTCTGGATTAGTTGTAGTTTCCGGGTCACCTTCAAAGGTAGCCCCACATAGAACGCATTGCAGTAGTCCAAGCGGGAGATAACTAGATCATGCACCACTCTGCTGAGACAGTCCACAGGCAGGGAGGGTCCTAGCCCGCGTACCAGATGGAGTTGGTAGACAGCTGCCTTGGACACAGAATTGACCTGCACTTCCATGGACAGCTGTAAGTCCAAAATGACTCCCAGGCTGCGGACCTGGTCCTTCAGGGAGTCCTCTACCTCCACCTGCCCCCTGTCCCCCAGAGACAGTATGTGATGGTCTGGGATTCCGAGTCTGAGAGCGAACCGGAGGAATCCCAGCCGGCACAAGAGTCCCCGCCTCCAGGGCCGGCTGAACTGGGGCAAGGCCTAGATGCTGAGGAGCCTGCACCTGTGCCAGTTCCTCAAGAGCAGGCACCAGGTGAAACCATTCTGGCCCCAGAGGTGCTGGAGGACTCAGTGGCTACAGGTGAGCCTCCCCCGGGGCCCAGTAACCCTTCGGCCTCTCCTGAACTGCAGAGGCTTAGGGCAGAGAGGCGAAGGGAACTGGTGTCTCCAGGAGGAGTGCTCGCCTTAAGGCCAAGAGAGGCGGGGCTTCTGGGGGCCGGGACCGTCCCCGGCCTTAGAAGAAGATAAAGGTCAGGCAGCCCGGTCCCAGGTTGCGGGAGCAACGTCGTTGTGGAGTACCTGCTTTACCCAGTCCTAGATCTGCACTCCCAGTGTGCCTGTTCCTCGCCCGGCTTCCTGTTCCTGACTCTCCGGTGTTCCTGTTCCTCGCCTGGACTCCTGCTTCTGCCCTACCAGTGTTCCTGTTCCCCGCCTGGCTTCCTGCTTCTGCCCTACCAGCGTTCCTGTTTCCCCGCCCGGCTCCCTGTCTCGAACCTCACGTCTCATCTAGTGATCGTCTACCCTGCTAGAGACTCTGGACTGAACTTGGGCAACGGTAATAGTACCTTCCCCCCCCCCCCGGGACCAGCACACAGTACTTCTGACTTGTCAGGATTCAACCTCAGTCTGTTAGCCGCCATCCATCCTCCAACCACCTCCAGACACTCACACAGGACCTTCACCACCTTCACTGGTTATGATTTAAAAGAGAGGTAGCGCTGGGTATCATTTGCATACTGATGAACACCACGTAAGCGCCACGACTGAGTGGAGGATCTGAACCCTGGCTTGGACTCCATCCAATCCCTCAGCCAACACTGTCATCATGATGACGCCGCTGCCTGTCGCCACACTTTCCTCTTGCTGTGAAACAAAACAGAAATGCTGATCCGACAGACGTTTCTTGATCTCCAAGAAAAGGCACAGATCCATCGGGCTCATTTCCTTGCCAATTTGCCCATTAATCCTGAAGCAGCTCCTCCACCTTCTCCTTGGCGCTCTCCAAGACAGGCTGATTTGATCTCAGGGGTTTCTGCTGAAAGTATAATAGCTTTGCACTAGCATTATTGAAGGTTGGGGACTTCTCTATGGCCACATTCACACCATCCACCGTGATACTTCTTTAAGCAGTCGTGGCTTCTCCCAAAGGATCCTGGGGGTTGTAGTTTGTTGAGGGTGCTGAGAGTTCTTAGGAGACAAAAAAGTCAATCTTACTCAGCTATGAGTAATCACCAAAGAAATAGCTGGTGTAAGAGCTGGCCATTTTTGTTGTTAATTCATTTAGATAGGTAGGCCACCCAGTGCTGAAGGATTTGGATGGGCAGCTATGCAAAAACATAGGAAACGGAATGAAATCTCACCAGTCAGTTGCAGTCAAGTTAGAATCATAGAATCATAGAATCATAGAATCATAGAGTTGGAAGAGACCACAAGGGCCATCGAGTCCAACCCCCTGCCAAGCAGGAAACACCATCAGAGCACTCCTGACATATGGTTTGTCAAGCCTCTGCTTAAAGACCTCCAAAGACGGAGACTCCACCACACTCCTTGGCAGCAAATTCCACTGTCGAACAGCTCTTACTGTCAGGAAGTTCTTCCTAATGTTTAAGGTGGAATCTTCTTTCTTGTAGTTTGGATCCATTGCTCCGTGTCCGCTTCTCTGGAGCAGCAGAAAACAACCTTTCTCCCTCCTCTATGTGACATCCTTTTATATATTTGAACATGGCTATCATATCACCCCTTAACCTCCTCTTCTCCAGGCTAAACATGCCCAGCTCCCTTAGCCGTTCCTCATAAGGCATCGTTTCCAGGCCTTTGACCATTTTGGTTGCCCTCCATCATGGTCATCATCGCTGCTGGTTGGATGCAGAGAAATGGCGGGAGGAACCAGTTGGGGAACCCCCAAGGGAAGAAGACTCAGAGCCCAGGGAGAGGTGGTGGTGGGACAACGATGAGTGGTCAGAGGGAGAAGATGGGAAGAGGAGGTGTCGGAAGCCAAAGGGGTAACAGGGCTCAGTGAGAAGGGAGAGTCTGTGGCCGAGAGCAGTCCAGAATCAGAGGCAGAAGCTGACGCAGGCTAATGGGAGGAGGGAGGCCAAGAGGCAGAGCTGAGTCAGGCTGGTGAAGAGTCATGGGTGCCTCCCCTTCCTGCTGTGACAAGCTGCCTCCCCCCCACCGACCCCAGAACCAGAAGAGGTGTGAAATGGGAAGAGCACAGTCTCTGATTGCTGGGGGGGGGTGGGACCTGGGGAGGAAGAGATACAGGCAGCTATGGGGAGGTCTTGGCAACTGATTTCATGGAGTAAGACCTACTGGGAATGAGCTGCTGTGCTCATTAGGTCTGACACTCAGACAAGTCTATGAAGATCGTGTTTTTGCTAATAAAGAGTTA